TTTTTTTAATGTCCGCGTTTGGCCGAACAACCGAACTCGTAGAGAGGGGGTGCCAAACGTTCGGGCGTTTGGCCCGTCCCGAACACCGGCAACCCGGATCATAACTATATTTTTTAATTTTATTAGATTTATTACTTATAAGTTGGATGTAGGTTGAAGCGATACATAAATCTAACAAACAAAAAAATGAATTCCTTATCGGTATGAGGATTAAATAACTCTATGCATTTCATATTGAGAGTCAAAATAAAAGAAACACAAACTGAGCAATCCCTCAATAAACCTTTTGAACACTATTATTTTTATTGAACTCGTACTTCATATTGGATGTCAAATTTTATTCATGCCATAATAATCTAAGTCGCATCTTATTTATTTTCAACGTCCAACAATGCTACATGCGACCAATACCATCAACCCCTCTTCCCTATAATAGTATGCCAACATGAAAAGAGCTTAGAGCGAATATAGTTTCCTTCATTTCCAACAAGTATTTGATTGTGTCATCCTTAATATACAAAAAGAATGTGATTTGAATCCTTACAAATCCTAAATTCACATGAAGAATCCCAATTTCAACCATAATGATCGATTCATCGGTTGAAGTAAAAAAAAAAATAATAATAATAAAATAATAATAATAATAATAATAATAATAATAATAATAATAATAAATAATAATAATAATAATAATAATAATAAAATTATTAGATATATGTTACTATCATTGATATTTATATATTATATCATCTTATTCGATGTGCTTGGTGGTAAGGCAAAAACATAGTAATGCATTCGGAGCTATATACCATATCTGGCGATTTGATGCAATCTCGCGTTAAAAAATCCCCCCACTTTGAAGTATGCAAATTTGATCATTTGGTGTTCGATAAGGATAAGGATTATACGTCACTACACATTACTTGTTTTTTTTGCTTGATTATTTGTACATTCACCCAAATATCACACATCACATCCATTATCAATTCGTAACTTTCTCACAACTATCACTTTTTTTAAACCTTTATTCTTTATGTGTCATTTATTATTATTTTTTTTCAGCCACTTCGCTTTGACCCTCCGAAACCTTTTTATGATAACATCTAAACTCTTTTGAGATTAAAACCAAGAGAGAGAGGATGTTGTTGTAGTCGTCATTTTGTCTTACGAGAAAGTGTTAAGTTGATGTTAAAGATTAATTGAGCCAGGCAAACCTGAAGGTAGACAGAGCGATGTTCTTACTAAAGTCAAACTTATAAAGATTTCTCATGAATCATCTTCCAGTTCTCTGAATATTTTTGTTTAGGTCATATATACGAACCGCACCGCCTTCTAGCTTGTTGGATATCCCTACGATGGTTACACACTTAAAACCAATACACGTGTATTGACCTTGTCCCCCTCCCAGGTCCCCCTCAACTTACCCTAAATGAAAGTCATTCGTACATCAACAATATGTTAGCTATATCTTTTTCCGACTTTCATACACCACCATCTTGCGTATCCGCCCTCCCACATTTTTTCATGTTTTTTTTTTCTTTATGCTCGTCACTGATAAAACATGTTGTATATTGTGATTTCTGGTCGTATTGGTGGAAGGAATATAAACCGTATGCTCAACATTATCAGCACACTGTCCGATATGCCACCGCACTTGGCAGTGCATGCTCCCGGGGCATTCATACGCCTCGGTGTCACATGCGCATGACGTGGAGATCCTTATGGATGTCAAAGCCTTGGTGGTCTTCCTTCCCTCTCTCCTTAGGCCTAGTCAACTTCCCCTGGGAGATCTTCTATAACCATCTTTGCCTTTCTCTGTAACCTGATCTTTTCTTCCAACTTCCCCTCCTTTCCGTTCGTATTTTCTTTAGGATAATTCACAGATTGCGCATCACAACGTTGTAATATAAATACCCCGGCCCAACTGATGATGAAGTGGCTGCCCGAGTAGAGAGATAAATAGAGGTGTTGATGCGCGAGTGGGCACATCATCCTTCTTTTTCTTTTTCTGCGTACACGACAGTACACTTGGCATATAGTCAGTATAATGCATGAAATTGTAACCCCTGCAATCAGAACATTGCATGAAACGGGAACCCACTGCCCATACACCGACATGTGTGCATTCACATTTCAATATATTTTCAGAAAAACTTGTTTGGTGAGGTACAGAGACAACCCACGTGGTCGTCTCTCTCTCTCTCTCTCTCTCTCCCACTCTCTCTCTCTTTCTGTGTGTGTGTGTGTGTGTGTGTGTGTGTGTGTGGTGCCCAAGGGTTTCTCTCTCTCTCTCTCTCTCTCTCTCTCTCTCTCTCTCTCTCTCTCTCTCTCTCCTCAGGTGCCCAAGGGTCTCTCTCTCACACCCCTCTCCCTCTCAAGGGTCTCTCTCTCTCTCTCTCTCTCTCTCTCTCTCTCTCTCGTGCCCTGTCTGTTAGTCTCAGTCTCTGTCTCTCTCTGTGCGTCTCTCTCTCCCCCTTGCCACGCAGGCTAAGGGGCTTGATCCGGTGCACAAGGGGGCCGCAAGCCAGTTCGCCCACAGGGCCGATCACACTGGCTGTCCCCGGTGCAAAGACTGCCGCGTGACGGTTCGGATGTCCGGCTCGTGCGATTACACGGTTGGACGATTGTGCTTTGGGGTCGACCGTACCGTGAACCAGGTTGCTTCCCTTGTTAGCTCGTTACATTCGGGAAATGGACCTAAGCACCAAACCTTCTGGTTTGTAACATACCGTACACTAGCTGTGCACCACACCTCTCGGTTCAGGTGCGCTCCAGTCGCCAGTCCGGTAAACCTCCGTGGTACTCGATACGTCGCATTGAATCTGCGCCTTCTGGTCGCGGAGGCTACCGGTAGCTATCTGGTAGTCCTCCTCCTTCTGCCGCGCGCTTAGAGCACAGCAGGAATTCATGGGTGGTGAACCGGACCTCGCTTCCCATCGCTGAGCGCAGGGAGGCGGTTCACATTTTCACATTTTCGCATTGGGTATATTTGGGCCATAGATATTTTCACATTTTCAGCATCTCGTCCTTCTTCACGATCTCGTCCTCTGTCACAGCCACCTCATCTGATCGCCGCCATCGCCGTAGCCTCCTCCTTCGAATTCGCGAAAGCTATGGCGCTTTATCAGAAGGAGGTTGAGATGGGCTGCAGGGCTGTCCGATTGGCGGCACTTCTCTGCCAAGTGAGTCTTTTTTTCCCCTCCTCCTCCTCCTCCTCCTCCTCTCTCTCTCTCTCTCTCTCTCTCTCTCTCTCTCTCTCTCTCTCTCTCTCTCTCTCTCTCTCTCTCTCTTTCTCTCTTTTTTTGTAATCAGAAAAATATCAAGGTTTTCTCTTGACTCTGTTTTTCCTGTTCTTTTTTTGTTCTTCTCCTGGCATTATTAACGTCCTGAAGGAGGCATGCGCGGACGCCTTTCAACGGGTACCTGAGACACCTTGAGGTCGTAAATGTCGGTTTCCCGCTCCCCCTCCTCGCGCCCTACGCCTCTCCTTCAGATCCTAACTGTCCGCTTTTGCTGCACACCATAGTGTGGGCTTCGCCGCACCTCTGACCAAATGCGAAAAAGACCAAAACTGTGGAAGGTGTATATTTTCACGTTCCGGTAGCCCCAATGTGAAAATATACACCCTCCATTGTGTTCATCTCATTTCCTCTGGCGGGATTCGAACTCACTTTCTCTTTCTAGCAATGACATGTGTGTACCATTCAACCACACGGACTGGGCACGCATAAGTCATTGGACCGCGGGGAGCAGCTGGCTTACCAGGTAACAACGACAGCCACAATACACGTCAGCAGCGGGAGGAGGTTCTACCGCCACTCAAACCACTGACGAGCATTCGCCTGGCAAATCACTATTATCATCCCCTCCCTTGCCCCCCTTCCTCCCTCCCTCCCTCCCTCCCTCCCTCTCTCTCTCTCTCTCTCTCTCTCTCTCTCTCTCTCTCTCTCTCTCTCTCTCTCTCTCTCTCTCTC